CCACCCCCACCCTCCCCCCATCACTTACATACCCAGCAGGGGCAGACCACCTATAAGCTTTCATGCTTTCTGAGTCAGGTGTCTACCCCAAGCTGGCAGAACAGGCTGCCCTTAGGAGATCCTTCTTGCCCACAGCACATTGCACTTGGATTCCATCTCCTTGCTTCCTTATTGAATATCTTTTAAAGCTCAGCTCTTATTCTGTCACAGCCCTCTTCCAACATCCTCAGCAACTTCCCATTGCCTGTAAAATAAACTCTGATTGTGGCATCTGAGGTCTTCCCAGATATAATCTTCTTTCCCACTTTAGCACTTTCTGCTTACCCACAGGTGAGCCCTCCAGCTACATGGGTTCTTAAGCCTTTTTGGCTTTTGCTCCTATGTTGCCTCGGCCTTGAGACCCATCTCCTCCTGGGTCTATTCAATGTAGAGTAATAATGGTCAGTCACGTAGTTACTGGTTGATTGCAGGATTGGTCTACCAAGGTTTAAATCCTGTTTCCTCCACTCTTTGTGGACCTTGGGCAAGCTACTTAATGTTTCTGTTCTTCTTTAGTTTCCTCGTATATAAAATGGGAGTATTATCATCTCCTCATGGGGTTTTTGTGAGGTGTAAATAAGATAATTTTCCATTCCTCAGTACAGTCCCTGGCATTTAGTAAGTGCTTAATAAATTTTAGCTCTTTTATTTGTATTATCATTATTATTCCCTAAGGCCCCTCTCCAATACCATCTTCTATTCCTATAGGAAGTATTCTCCCTCTGTGAGCTCCTCTGGGTTCTGTTCATTTGTTTTAGGAGGGGTAAGAGGGATAACTCCTTGAGATAGTCCTAGCTATTCCCTGTTCAGTATTGCAGCCCAAAGAATCTTCAAGAGGTTGTAGAGACCTTCTTGTGTAGTGCTTGAACAACAGGTGAGGACTACCAGGGCATCCGATGTGCCTCGGATGACACAAGCAGTCCTTGAGGCAGGCCAGACCTGTAGCCCAGGTACCTAGATTATGTGGGACTCATTCAGTCCCCACATCTCTCACTCTCTGGAGTTTGGATGTGCCTAACATAAAGCTAATGTCCATAGCCAATATTAGTGGAGTGTTTAGCTTTGCCCTCAAGGAACTGAGTCTAGCAGAGGAGACAGAGACATCTGCAGTTACACTGCTGTGGTGGAGTCCAGTACAGGGTGTTGGAATGGCACAGAAGAGGCAGCCACCAGTGGTGGTGCTGGCTGGACGGCTGGAAAAGGCTGCTGGGAAAAAATGGGAACTAGGCCTTAACAGTGAGATGGAACTAGTGAATTAGGAGGTGGGGGTGATCCACAGGAAAGAGAGAGTGCTGAGAGACCAGTGGAATGAAAAGCAGTGGTGTGTGTGGAGAATTTTATTATTCGGTGTGGATGGAGCTTAAAGTATATGGTAGGATGCTGAGGGAGATAGCTGGCTGGGGACGGAGGAGGAGGCCCTTGTAAGCCTGTGAGGAGTTTGGTAGAGCTTTACACTGGGGAGTAAAGGGAGACATTGAAATGCTGGAAATAGAAATGGTCAAATTTGCAAAATTCTGGGTGCTGGGAATGGAATGGAAGAGAATGAGGGGACTGGAGGCAGAGAGGCTATTCAGGTTAGTGGAGTAATCCATAGAAGAAATCATGAGAACCTGGGCAAGTAATGGTAGAGGTGGAAAGAAGTGAAGAGACTTCAGAGATGTTAGAAGGTAGATGACAGATTTGGGATGTCAGGAGTGACAGGGATGGTTGCAGGAAGGAAAGGTTTGAGAATGGTTCATGAGTGTCTGGCATGGAAACTCACCAGGGTGGAGGTGGAGGAACAGGGAGGGTTAGGAGTTCAGTTCTGGAATGTGGAGTTTGCAGATATAGGATATGGGCAGGTGGGGAGTGGGGCATCTGAGAGAGATTTGTAAATGTGCTTCTAGAATTCAAGGGAGTTATGGGCTGGAGGGTCAGGTTAGGGATGCCAGCCTGCTGCCTGCCTAATTGTGCTCTCCTCTTCACAGAATAACAGAAGATTCAGCTGTAACCACGTTTGAGGCCCTGAAGGCTCGGGTCAGGGAACTTGAACGGCAGCTATCCCGTGGGGACCGTTACAAATGCCTCATCTGCATGGTGAGAGGAAGGGAACCTAGGCGTGCCCTTGGTCGGGCTTCAGTGCCCTCTGGGGGTTGGAGAGGGTCTCTGCATCGTGATCTGAACTCTTTAGAGGGTGGGCCAGCCTCAGCATGACTCTTTCTCTGCCCACCTCCTCTCCAGGACTCATATTCGATGCCCCTAACGTCCATCCAGTGTTGGCATGTGCACTGCGAGGAGTGCTGGCTGCGGACCCTGGTGAGGTGGCATGGGGGTCAGGGAGGGTTTTGCTGTTCTGGGTACTGCCCAGATGTCCTTGCCTATGCTTGAGCCTGCTTTGGGGGAGGGATGAGGAGGGGCAGGGGGGAGCGGGAGCATAGAACACAGCCAGAAGCCATGATATCCCCCCACCCTAGCTCACCACATTCTTATCTCCCCCACCTCAGGTTTATTAAATTCTCCCCTTCTTTGAGTTCACTGCCTCCTTTCCCTCTGCCTCCACCCCCAGAAGGCCCACTGTGTCACACATAGTGGTGAGATCCTGGGTCAGGAAGAGGCTGGGTGTGGGTAAGCAGGACCAGGGCCTCTGCCCCTCCCCCTCCCATTACTAAGCTCCCTCTGCTCCTGCCCCTGTTCTTCGCTTGGGAGCAGCCATTAAAATGTCGCCCGGAGACAGCAATAAAAGGCCCGGACGTGGGCTCTGTGTCCTGATCAAAGGCCGCGTGTAATCTTGTTAGGGCCGCAGCAGCCACAGCTGGACCTAGCCTTGTTCTCATTACTGGGGCTCCTGCTGCGGGGCTGGCCAGGCGGTTTGATCCTGGCATCCCCCCAACGCAGGAGCGTGCCTGCTTGCTCACGGAGGCTGCCCATGTCCCCGACCTGGGCTGACAGGATCAAGGTCCCAGCACACAACTGGTGCAGGGAGACATGGCTGCAAGTCTGGGTGCTCACATGAGCTAACATGCAGCACAGTCTATATAACCGAAGCCCTCCCTGTTCTTGCAGGGTGCCAAGAAGCTCTGCCCTCAGTGCAACACCATCACAGCGCCCGGAGACCTGCGGAGAATCTACTTGTGAGCTAGCCACCCCAGACAGGCCTTGCCTCAAGCAGCCCCGCCTGCCTGCCTCTGTGACGTGACTACCCCTTGTACATACTTTCACACAGGTTCCCCATGTACATACACACACACACACACACACACACACGCGCGCGCGCCTTTGGAGCCAGAGTAGAGGCTGAGGCCCAGGCCCTGCCTGCTGGCTCCAACCACGATTGGGGACCATACCTGTTCCAGGTTCTGTTCCCAGGGTGGGGCAGGGAGGTACAGGTAAGGGTGAGTCGCTGGGCAAGGCTCCTGAGATCCAACCCCCAGACTGACAGACGGACAGACAGACATGCAAACACCAGACTGAAGCACATGTAATATAGACCGTGTATGTTTACAATGTTGTGTATAAATGGGACAATTCTTCGCCCTCTACTCCTCCTCCCCTTTGGTTGTATGATTTTCTTTTTCTAAGAACACCTGGAAGCAGTGCCTCCTTCAGGGCTGGTTGGGGGCTCGGCCCATCCATCTCTTGGGGTGCCTACCTCCCTCTCTCCCTTTGATGTCCCTTCCCTATCCCATGTGCTCAGTGTTCAGTGGTGTATATTTCTTCTCCCAGACATGGGGCACATGCCCCAAGGGACGTGATCCTCTCCTTAGTCTTAGCTCCTGGGGCTCTTTATAAGGAGTTGGGGGAGGGGGGATGCACAGGAAATGGGAACCGAGCTGAAGCAAGGGCCGAGATTAGGGCTAGATGAGGGTGCTCCTGGCTGCCCAGCCTTCTGCCAAGAACCACTTCTGGGATTAGAGCTGCTGTTCCCAGGGAAAAGTGTTGTCTCCCCCGCCCCTCCCATGGGCCCCATGGTGTGATGCTGTGTCTGTATATTCTATACAAAGGTACTTGTCCTTTCCCTTTGTAAACTACATTTGACATGGATTAAACCAATATAAACAGCTGCTGCCTGTGTGTACATGTGTAGGAAGGGATAGGTGATGGGATGGTGTGGACAGGCAGCTGAAGAGTTAATTCCTGGCAGCAATGTGGAGGAAGGACTTGGATATGGGTGTGTAAAGCAGTGCAGGGTTGGTCTGCTCAGGGACCCTGGAGCACTACGTCAGGAGTGGGGGTGGGGCCGGGGACCTAAACTTCTGACTATTGATGGGTAGGGGCTCCAGGTTAATTCCTTATCGATGCAGAATCGTCAGCTCATTAATCACAGAAGAGGTCAGGGCTTGGGGGTACAGAGGGGATGCAAACTCTATCCCCCAATCTAGGGCAGGAACAGCTACAAGCTTAGGTGAAAACACAAGCTCCAAGCCTCTATCCCTTTCTAGTCCCCTGAAAGGAGCCCAGGGACCAAAAATAGAACCACCATCTCAGCACCCCTATGGCTTTTTTTCTGGTCTCCATCCTATTAACCAATAGTCCAGTATAGCTACTGCCTGGATCCTCATGGAAACAGTAGAAAACCGTTATCCAAGACAGACCCTCAAGTTGGGGAACTGAAGCTGGGCAGCTAGCACTGGAGATGGTGCATGGTCAAATCATTATCCCCCATGGCTGCCCACTGCCAGTGATTGTTCAGCATCTGGGTGCTCGCTCGTTCAGGTGCTCAAAGCTGTAGATGCATCCTCGCCCACCAGAAGGCTTGTTTTAGAAAAGATTCTAAAATTAAAGACCCCAGTATCTCCAGAACTCCTGAGCCCTTTCCTTTTTACATATTCTCACATGCCACACCTACCCTCCATCTTCCCAAATCTGCCTTAGACACAAATTTCTAGGATGTCCATGGTGGGTACATACTCCTGCCTCCTCCACCCAACAACAAATCGCCCTGGTTTGAGCCAACCTTCACAGGCCCATACCCAGCATGATGGTTGTAAATGCCCTGAATGCAAGATCCTGAGGTCCAATATTCTAGGGAATATATGTGGCCTGTCTAGCCACATGATGACTGAGTGTTTATGCTAGAGAAGTGGGTAATGCCCAGTTCCCATCAGGATGGCTCCTTTCAGGTCTCAACTCTTCTCTCCTGCCTTGGTCTCAGTAGGCCCTTGATGACTGGTTACTCCCACCCTGCAGGCCATATGCTCTCTAAATAGGTGACATTAACCCAGAGTGAGGGCATGCGGCCCACCTGCTGTGAGATTCTTGAGCTGTCTCATGGCACAGGCAGCACTGCCACCTATTGGCCAGGGCTAAGAATGCAGCCACACAATATAGGACTTGGCCCCAACAGTCCAGGTCCCAGAGGACACACGCCACGCAGATAGAGATCTCGGCTCAGGAGACAGAGGGTCCATCAGCCCTAAGAATATCAGGACTCAGCTCCCACCTAGAGTTGTTCCATCCATTTCCTTCACTGCCTGTCAAACTGTCAAAGCCCATCCCTGCCCCCCAAGTCCCTTGATCACCACAGTAAGCTCATTCAATCAACAATTATTTATTAAATACCTACTATGTGCCAGCAGGGTGCAGCAGTGACACAGAATGATAGATAATATAGAACTCTAAGGCTAAAGCCACCACTCCTGCCTAGAGAGGAGCCAAGTGGGTCTCCCTCAAGGAGATGAGGGACTTCGTTGTTTCAGCCAAACAGCCCCTTGGCCCTGGTGCTGGTCTTCAGGGCTCCTGACTTCGCTTCTCCCAGTGCCCATATGGCGCTGCTGTAAGGTGTGTGTGTAATGCTCCCTACTCTATCTGTCCATTACACACACCTTACAACTTTTCCTGGATCCAGTGGCTTCCTGACAAAGTGTGATGGACCCAGGCAGGTCAATCACCTCTGTATCCTCAGCTCCCCATCTGGCTTCTACCTCAGACTCCCTGGCAATGAGGTCAGAGAAGTCTCTCTTCCTGAATGGCCAAGTGGGATCCATGAGGATGGTGCTTCATGCTGTGGGGCTTTGCCCTTCTGAGGCCGTAGGAGAGATCACAGCCCCTGCCCTAGCTTGATCCTACCCTCTGGCACCTCCCCACAAAGTTTACCTTCCAGTCAAGGAACTGGAGATCAACCAATGATCCACCCCACTCCCACTTGCTTAACTCGTAACAGCCTAAATGCCACAGGAATCAGCAGCCTAACTGCTGCACTTATCCAAACACAAGCACTGCAAGGCTCCTGCAGAGATGTGCCCAGGCACTCCCACTCCCCAGGATCCTGGGATAAGCAGACCACCACAGAAGCTCAAGGGAATTCTCTACTTGGGGAACCACAAAGTCCCAAAGGGCCATAGGAAATTGAACCAGAAGAAGACCCCACCCATGGATGTAGGTTATAGGGAGGTGTCAGGCGTTTATTTCTGAAGCCTAGGTGAGGTGGGTGGAGCAAGGACCCTAGCAGTGGACGCAGCTGTGCATGAAGTTGACACAGAGGCTCGTGTAGTAAGTAGGGTAGTCACGGAAGTGGCTGACATGTGCAGATGACACAAAATCCACAGAGCGCACGAGGACCCGGCGTGCCAGGCGTGCCTCCACCATGCGTTCCACATCCCTGGCTAGGATCACCTCATCAGCCCTTGAGTAGAGATAGAGCTCAGGCCAGCGAGAGGCTGCATCGAGCAGCCTGTCATAGAAGTGGCTGTGGAAGAGGGCAGTGAGTGGAGCAAGCAGGACATGGAACAGGATTACCACCAGGGCGAAGGCCACAAGGAGCAGCAGGCGCAGCACCATAGGCCGGTGCTCCAGGATGACTGCCAGGGCCCGTAGAGTACCCACCAGGTTTCTATCACCAGGACTGCTGTCAAAGATGGTGCCCACCACACGCAGGTGGCAGAAGCGCCGATGGGTCTGCAGGAGCTCCAGCACGTAGCGGTACAGCATGACACCGGCGTTGCTGAAGACATGGAAGAGCAGGGGCTCCTTCTCAATCTCGTAATCAAAGAGTAGCTCAAGTAGCTTCTGGGCCAAAACACGAAGTGAAGGGATGCCCAGGGACTCGGAGAAGAAGACCATGTGCCATGGGGCTGTGTATCGGATCACGATGCAGCCCTAGGAAGAGGAGAGAGGCCTGGTTGGTCCTCAGGGATGTGGGGGCAGGGAGGTGGTTTACAAGCTAATGTCAGAAGGATCCAGCAGCTCCAACTTGCACAGGCCCAAAAGCCTAGCAGTGTTCCAGGCCCTGCTGGGGTCTGGGCGCCAGCTCACCACTCACAGACATGGTGCCTTCCAGAGTGGAAGGTTGTGGAATAATCACTTCACACTGGCCAAGACCCCTCAGCCTGGGATGGTACGTGAGCTGGAGCCTAGAGCATGCTTTGGAGACTTCTGGGCTGACCAGAAGGAAGTCTCACTCCGATCGGCATCTGTCTCCCTCCCACCCCTGACCTTGCACCCTATCTGCTCGACTTGCACATTTAAGGTTTTGCTGCCTGAATACACCCTGCTGCCAGCGACTCCACTCTGCACTGTCCCTGCGTCCCAGGCACAGGTATCCATCCCCACGAGACCCAACACCCAAGACATAGCCTGCAGGCCCCAGTCTTGACCACCAGAGGCCACTCATGAGCCAGACCTGCATGATGTTAGTCTCTAGACACTGCCACCCCTACACAGAGCCCTGAGAGCAGTCCATACTTTCTGCATCAGGGGTCTGACACCGAAATCTATCTGGTTCCAAGGCCTGGGATCATTCCTTCCGCACTCCCTGAAATTCTAAATATAGTAAATGCTGTTGTTCCTCAAATTCTAAAAGCTGAGCCAAATTCTCTCTAGGTTTCTGTACCCCTCAATGCCTGGGTCAAGTACACCTCTAAGTCTTCAGACAGATCCCCTTCTAGGCCAGTTAGAAAAGGCGGCCAAAGCCACCCAACCTGAGTCTTAAACCCCTCTCATTAACCTTTTCTAGAGACAAAGGGCCCTTTGTCAGGGGACTTGGAGTTAGGCAGACTCTGGGGTCAGAAAGGACTAGGTTCAACTCCTGGCACCACTTATTAACAGTATGGATGAAGAACTACCTTCACAAGTGCACACACGCACACACTCCTCCCCAGGAGCATGCATATGCAGGACGACTTTTTGGTACAGACATAACTGCAATTCCTGTGAAAGTGCCATCTTTGAGGGCACACACAGTGGGCCCTGTTAACTCCAAATCTCCTATGCGTGCACACTTGAGGGGTCTGGGCATCACTCTGCCGCCACCTCCCCAGTCAGATGCTCCCAGAAGTCCCTACATCAAGGACCCAGATCTCACTGGATGTCAGATCCCAGTCTTTTCTCTCTCCCCCAAAGCCAACCATCTCTCCATCTCTGCATATGCTCAAAGGACGAGGCCCTGCTCTATCAGTCCTCACCCCTCTCTCCTATATTTTCAGTCTCTCTCACTAGATTCTTGCTCAAACCAATCTCATTTTTAAAAAGCTTCTGCATCCCAATGTGTTCCCCTCTAACTCTATCCCACCTTCCCTTCACCTTCCTAGACAAACTTTGACACTCACCGTCCTTTCAACTTCATCCCCTCCCAAACAATGCTCTTATGAAAGTCACCCATATTCTCCCAAACAATCAAGTCCCGTGATACCTTTTAGTTCCCATTGCACTTCCCTTTTAGCAGCATTCAGGATCACACACTCCTAGATATATTCTCTGGTAGCCCAAGCTGTTCAATAAGTTAGTATCTTGAAAACAGGGAGGATTCTAGATTTCAAAAAGGGGTAAGGAACAAAATAACTAGATGCAATAAGTGATCCTGAATTGGATCCTGGTTTGGGAAAATCATCTATAATATACACTTTGGGGACTCTAATATTAGAGAATTTAAATGTGAACTGGAAATTAGATGAGATGAAAATTTATTAACATGGAACTATAGAGATCATGATCTAAAAAAAGATATAAAATAGTGTATTCGAAAGATCTCCTTTTGGTAAAGAAAAGATACACACACAGAAAAAGGTGAAAGGATATACACTCATGTGTAAATAGAGGTAATCTCTGGGTGGGAGAATACGGTATCTTTATTTTCTTTTAAATAGTAAGTATTCATAAACCATCTAAATTTCTAACCAATGTACTATATACTTGAGACTAATAATAATATAAAATGCTAAAAAAAAAAATAATAATAATAAAGTATTAGGGGTTTGAGGTTAGGAAAAAATTTCTTTCCACACCCATTCTATCCTCCTGACCATAGGGTAAATGCACCCTCTTCCTTTCCCAGACAACCCCTCCACCAGCCCTGCCACCTCAACCCCTCTGCCTTCCCTGGGCTTATGCTCCCTCTTTTTCTCACCATGCCTCCTGCACCAATAACATCTTTCCTCCTGCCCTCTACAGTGGCCCATTTCCCAAAGGCGCACTATGGATTCCACCACACTCTCCTGGGTTTTCTTGTCCCTCTTTGGCCACACCTCCTCTCCTCGTAGGACTCTCTTCATCTTCTGCTGCTTTAAGTTTGGGCTTCTCAGGGCTCTGTCCTTGCCCTCTACACATTCCCTGGGGGAATCGCATCTACCCCAGGGCCTATGGCTCAAAACCCACATCCCCTTCTACTCAAGAACTGCTGCAGCCAGAACTCTGGTATTACCCTTGACCCCTCCCTATCCCTGTGCCCATATCCAATCTCTCACTAATCTACCATTCTACCTCCTAACAAACTCCTTGATCAATCAACTTCCTTCCACCAGCACCATTGGCCCCAAGGTCCTGACCACTGCAACAAACTCACTTCCCAGCTTCCAGTCCTGGCCCCCTGCAGTGAAGGACTTTCAGAAGCGCAAATCTAACCTCAGTGGCCCTGCTTAAATCCCCTGAGGACCCTCCCCAGCTTCACCTCTTGCCACATGCCCTTTCTTTCATTCTCTGTTCTGGCCACATTCACCTATTTCTATTTTTCCGCCTGCCCTCACAGATCTTAGTCTAATGGAGAAGCAAGACAAAAAAGCCTACCTCACTGAAGAAATTCGGAAGTAGCTGAAACTACCTGCAGAGTAAGGCAAGCTATAAAAGCTGATGCCAGAGGACCAGCCTTGTTGGTGGCAGGGAGCTTCAAGCTCAGAACTGCTTTTTCCCCCAAACTTTCTCCCACTCCACGGCCACCACACACCTTAGGCACAGTGCAGACGTGGGTCAGTGGAAAGAGGCCAAGGGGAGGGGGACACCAGCTGGCCTTTCTCCCGGAAGGCTCCCACCCCTCCTCAGTTCTAGGCTCCCAGGTGGCAGCTGGGGCTGTCTGTGCTGGTGTTTCTTTGCTTTGGGAAGTCTGGGCTGAGAAGGGCAGGACTGGGCCAGAGGCCAAAGATACGAAATGACCTTTCAAAATGTAACTAAGCCCCCTAAGGCTCTCTTCAATTACCACAACCTCTATATCCAACTCCTGGTGCAGCCTGAGAAGAAGCAAGGAAACCTCAAGCCTGAATCTCTTTTCCAAGAGGCCCTTCTACTACAGGAATGTGAAGGTGCCCTGGTCAATCTAAGACAGAACTTCACCTGATCAGAAAAGGTGACAGTCCTGGAAGTACAGACACCCAGCGCACCCAACCCAGGCTCCTGCTGCCCAGACAGGCAACATCCAGCCAACAGAAACTTGAGGTCTGGGTGGACTCTGCAGCTGGGAGCACATAAGGGCTGGGCTACCCACTGCGGGGTTTGGGGAGGAAGGAAGAGGAAGCAAGTCAGGGGGCTGAAGGGGACAGACCAGGCCACAAAGCTAGCAGCAAAGCAGGGATAATCTTGCCAAAGTCCCCATGACCCCAGCGTCTTCCTCACAGGCCATTTTTGGTGCCATTCTCAGGCCTGCAACATTGGTGGTCAGCCTTCGCTGCGGCCCAGAGAAGAAGGCAGCCAAGGCTCAGAGTTCCCCGCAAAGCAACTACATGGGGCAGGGCCCCAGAGCCCTGGGTGTCCCCATGCCTGCAGTACTCACTCTTTTGTGGTAGATGGCGCTGTACTTGGCAAGGTTCTTGTCGGTGCAGCCACCCCAGCCCAAAAGAATCACCAAAGGCTGTCGAGTCCCCGCCTCCTTCCCATCTTGGCTAGGGCTATACTCTGAAACACATACAGTGAGACAGTCAGCACCAGAGATGGGGTGTGGGGTGGGGATGACTGGCCATTCTAGAGCCAGCACCACTCTGGCTACAGGCAGGGAACCAACGAGTGACAGGCCCAGGTATTCTGCCAGCCCCTGTGCCTCAGGTTCCCACTGGGCTCCTTCCTCAAGGTGGCTTTTAGGCCTCTCAGGAGTCACTGCAGGGTCATTGGAAAAATCCACAGGAGGGCACTTTTCTCTAATGACTCAAAGACATAGCACAGGTGAAAAAAAGACTACTTTATCCATGCAATTTCACCTTCTAATACTGGGGTCAGCAAACTACAAGCCATGAGCCAAATCCAGCCCATGTTGTTTTTATATGACCTGTGAGCTGAAATAAAAAATGGGTTTTTACATTTTTAAATGGTTTAAAAAATAATAATAATATTTTGTGACACATGGAAATTTGTCCACAAATAAAGTTTTACTGGAATGCAGCCACATTCATTTACTTCTTGTGTATGGCTGCTTTCATGATAAAACAGCAGAGTTGAGTAGCTGCAACAGAGATCATATGGTTCACAAAGCATAAAATACTTACCGGCCCTTTACAAAAAAAGTTTACAAGCCCATGTTCTAATTCCACAAATAGATGGAAGAAGTGGGTCTTCCAAAGAGAAACGGATAGGTCAGTGTAAGCAGAGAGGCGGAGCAGACTGACTCCAAGGCCTATACCAAACCACCCACCTGTCCTTCCAGAGACTACTACTAGCTGATATTTACTGAAGTTTAACCCTCATAACAACAGTATGAGTAATACTATTATAGATGAGGAAACCGAGGCACAGAGTGGTTAAGATACTTGCCTAAGGTCACACAGGCCATCCTAACCAAGCTGCTTGAGGCCTTCTGTACCACCATCCCTGTCCACAACTAGAAGCACGTCTCCTGTGGTGATATGCTGATGCACAAGCCAGCTGCCTACTCCATGGCTGCTATCAAAAGGCTTCCCTGCAACCTCGTTGGTCAGACCTCATCTCATCTCCCTGCCAAGTGACTCCCCACCTCCTCAGGGGCTCTTCTGTGCAGGTTATCTGCCCTCCCGAAAGGACCAGGGTGTGCCCTTCCAAGGATCAAGCCACTTGGCTATGTTCGGCTGCCACCCTAAGATTTACGAAGGCCGGTGGCGACCTGGCAACAGTAAATTTCAAGGCTAGTTAAGAGGATGGTAAATATAAATCACTAACCTTTGGACAAAAGGAAGACAACAATTTCCTGTGGAAATTAATGTGATTGAAAAGTTCAATGTTCCTGCTCTCCAGCAGTGGCGACTCTGGCCTACGGAGATTAACTGCCTGCACCCACGGGGATCCCAGGCTGGGTTATAACTGTCTGCAGCAGGAGCTGACAGTGCCTCAGTCCCTTGCTGATGCCTGCCAGCCCTCCCAGGATCTCCTGACGCTGGCCTCAGTCTCTGATGAGGAAGGAAGTCTCACAGCTCTAACTCAGGCCACTCCAGATATTCTCACTCCCTTTCTCGGCCTGATGTTCCTCTGTCCTCTAACAGGGCAGCACTTCACCTGCACGGGCCTTTTTGGTGAAGAGGCTATATCTGGGGATGACGGTCCAGGAAGCTCAGGCTGCGGCAGCCCCATGAGTATTAACTGGCTGCTACCACTTGGGTCTGCCTTTGAATCTCTGAGATCCAGAAGCTCTACTCCTGAGACCTGGCCCTTGGCAGCTCCCTTACCTTGGTGAGGCTGTCTGAGCGTAGGACTCTCCCTCCATGTGCCACCACCGAGACACGAGCAAAGGGCTTTGGGATTTATCTCAAATACAAAGAAGGCAGCCAAGGGAAATCACATCCCCCTGGTGGCCACCCAAGGTTAAGGCCGCCATGACTAGCAGTGATGGCGCATTCCCAGATGGGGAGGGTTCAGACAGCTTTTACTGGGCCTCTGGGCTGCCCCAACTCCTGTGGCTAGGATTTCTAACTCCATCTTGCTCCACTGCAGGTTTTACTGGCACACTGGGCTTCACCAACTCGGGCAGAAGCTTTCCCAGATGCATCCCCATGAAGAAAACTCTCAGCATACAGGCACCCTGAACACACTGCCTATTCCCTGAGCCTAAGCTTTCCATCATGTTCCTAAAGGGAGGGAACTGGTCCCTTCACTCCAGCCAGGTACTCGAGGCTGCCCCTAAGCCACAGGTGCTGCCTACCTATGGGCACCTCCCTCTCCCCTGACATGTTCTCCCAGCACTCTACTTTCCGTGCCCACTCCTAGCTCAGAGCCTTTGTCATGACCTCCTTCCATTGGAGCCATGCTACAAATTTCTGATTCTATACATGAAGTGCTATATCCAGATAAGTCCAAGGTACTCTGGGAACATGGCTGAGAGAGCGATGGTGACTGGAAAAGGCCTACAGAAGGAAAACGCACTTGCTGCGCTGGCCATGAAGAACCAGCAGGAGCATGCCAGGTGCAGAGAGTGCGTGAGCAGCGAGCGGCAGGGGGCCACTGGGGACATTGCAGTCGGTCTAGGAAACAGCAAGCAGTCCTGGGGGTGCTAGACGCCTGGGTGAGGGAGCAGCAGTGGTCAGGAGAGCTGCCAAGAGTGGGACTGGAGCCTGACCCTTCAGGGCCTTCAAGCCATGCTTAGGAGTCGAGATTTTATTCTGTAGCAGTAGAAAGCTAATGAAGATTCTGGAATTGTGGGTGGGAATGGCATGATCCAATCTGTATTGATTAATGACTTGTGCGATTATCTGTTTAATGTCTGTCTCTCCCCTTAGCCAGCACGCATCGTGAAGGCAGGAACTGGGTCTGTCGTGTTCATTGCCACATCCCCAGTGCCCAGCACTGCAGCTGGCCCGTTCAGGCACTCAGTAGAAATGTCCTAAATGAACACGTGGCTGCAAAGTGAAGAATGGATCCAAGGGAGAAAGAGCTGGCATTCTTCTTGTTACCCACTGCCCTTTCCAGAGTCATAAAAGTAATTGCTATGGCTATTATTATTTATGACCACATCCAGATAATGATTCCTCCACCCTCTTGTAAAACCCCCTGCTCCTTTTATGCTCATTCTACTGGCCATATCATCCTCTCCCCTCCCGCTGCTGACATCTCCTGGCCTCTGGCCACTGCCCCTCAGACACTGAAGACAAGCACCACCAGCTCGTTTCCCACTTATATATACTCCAAGACTAGGATGACCTCACACAGGCAATCCAATCCACCTCGTTCCTAAACCATCATAAACCGCTCCGAATTCCACATTTCCTTCCAGCTCCTACCCTCCCCCTCTCTCCCATCACCAAGAAAAACAGGAACAGCAAAAAGAACATTATGTGTCAGGCACTATTCTAAGCACTTTGCATATCAACTCATTTAATCTTCACGACAACCCCACGAACAAAAATATTGTTATTATTCTCATTTTACAAATGAAAAACTAAACCACAGAGATAGGAAATAACTTGCTCAAGGTTACACAATTAGAAAATAGTAAAACTGGAATCCAAACCCAAGTGGCCTAGAGAACAGCTTATAACCACTATCCCAGCAGGGCCTTGGGGGAACAAAAATCAAGGCCCCAGTCTTAACCAAATGGCTATCACCTCAGCTCCAGACCTGTACACACGGCTGCTTCTCTGTACATCAACTGATCTAACGCTAATCTCTTCTGCCGGTTCCTCCTTAGGGACTGGCCACTCCAGCCAGAACCTCAACATCTGCTGCCTCATTTGGTCCTGCAAACATCCTAGAAGCTAGCTACTACGTCAGCTATTGTCTCCATTTTACAGATTAAAAAACTAAAACACAGACGGAGTCAGTCCCTTTCCCAAGAATATGCAGTAGAAAGTGGCAGGGCCAGAATCCACCTCCAGGACCTCACACCAGCACCTTACACCACCCCACCCCACCCCCGTCCCCCCACCCAGGACGCTGACGCTCTATGTTT